CAAGCGCTGGAATGGGTTGCATCCCTTCATGAAAAAAGCTGAATTTTGGGACGTATCTCTTCAACCACACTCCTTCACCTTCTATATAAAGAACCCTTGAGACATTTATTATTTATTTCATTCCATATTTACACTTTGATTTTGCTTAAAAACATTTTGTAGAAGTGATGATTTATTTTTGCATCAAAATCATAATTTTGGTAGAGAGGAAACTCCGTTTGAGTTTATTGGTCTATGTAATTTGGAGGGCTCATATTTTTAGACGTGATCGTTATATCTTAGAGATGATTGCCGAAAAACTATTAGCACCGAAGCTGGCCAAATTCATCATAAGAACAAAGTGTCAAATACTTGCCTAACTCAATCCCATCACTTGCAATTCCTTATTTCATTTTTTGATTTCTTTCAATTTTTAAACATTAATACTTGCGAACTTGTATGAAAAATTCAAAACTTGTGGATGCAATATTATTAGATTACATATGTATTCATAATTAAGGAATTGTGGAGGTAACTTATTCTACAAGTTGAATTCTCTATACCTTATAAATCATAGAAGAATGTCGATGAAGTGAAAAGTTAGAAAGCCCTTATACTATTTTAGAAGTTTAAGGATGGTTCACAACGTGATGTACACTAAGTTAAAAGTGGATAAAATTGGATGAAAGTCGATTATAGTGGTTGTTTGAATATGCATGAACAATTGGAATATTTGAATAATATTCATANAATATGCATGAACAATTGGAATATTTGAATAATATTCATACAATTGAAATGCATTAGTTCAATGTTGAAAATTGAATATCGATGACTAGTGTAATGATTTGATAGAAATCCTCCAACGGTACTTGGAAATTGATAAAACTTTAGATAAAGCTAGTAGCTTCATAAGAGGATTTTTTAGTTGGTGACAATTTGTATCTATTAAATGGATCGATCGTTAGCTATCTATATTTGATGAGATCCTAAGTTACATATAATGGTAAATCTAGACATATATATCGTAGATACAATACCACAAGTTGTTGATCTCATTGGTGTAAACTCGTGGATCCATTTGTATATGTTTACTAAGAGATCAAGTATACTACGTATTAATGGGAATGTGCTTACGTAAGAATCTTTATAATGGTAACTCAAGATCCTTGACTGGAGATCTCAAGATCTTGGTTCAATGGAACAACTAAGTTATAAATAGTCAATGAGCACTTTGAGTTAACTCTTACACATTCTTATAATAAGAAAAAATGTTATCTGCGGAATGTTTTAGGTTAAATTAAGCTTTTAATGATTCCTATATCTTGATTAAGTCAAGTGGAATAAGACAGAATACTCTTATAGGCTAAAATTCTCTAGAAGCTTATGAAACCCCGAGTGTTTCATGACCAAAATGAACATAATCATGAAAACCATAAATGGTTTAGAGAGGACATTGTGTGAGTACCGTTGTCTTGGTCTACACCAACGGTTGAGTGGTTGAACACAGCGTATTCACCAATTAGCCAAAAAAATCCGATAGTATTTCACTAATGAAAGTTCAAGGCTGGAAGCTACATATCTTGATGTAATTTCTTTTTCTTTTCTCTTTACTAATGTTTACATTATCATTTGCATATTTGAATTTTCATTCATGTTGGGGATTGCAGGAATTTAGTTTAAAGATTGAAAAAATTTAATGAAGTATAAAACTTGAAAAGTGACTTTGTGTCAATTTTGGTCAAACATTCAGACTTGATACGATAGTCAAATTACGAAAGTATGTTGACTAACTTATTCTACTCGTAGAATATATCGTCGTAGTGTATTTAGAATCTAAAAACAATTCCAGATAAATGAGAAATTGTGCTCCAAAGTTTGAAAAAAAAAAATCGAAATTCAACATGTGAGGTCGCCAAGCGAGTGATAGCTCACTGTATTGCGCCGCTCGAGCGCCACATGGGCGGTAGGCAAGCGATGGAATGGGTTGCGTCCCTTCATGAAAAAAGCTGAATTTTGGGGCGTATCTCTCCAACCATACTCCTTCACCTTCTATATAAAGAACCCTTGAGACATTTATTATTTATTCCGTTCCATATTTACACTTTGTTTTTTCTTAACAACATTTTGTAGAAGTGATGATTCATTTTTGCATCAAAATCATAGTTTTGGTAGAGAGGAAATTCCGTTCGAGTTCATTGGTCTATGTAATTTGGAGTGCTCATATTTTTTAGACGTGATCGTAGTATCTTAAGAGATGATTGCCGAAAAACTATTAGCACCGAAGCGGGCTAAATTCATCATAAGAACAAAGTGTCAAATACTTGCCTAAGTCAATCCCATCACTTGCAATTCCTTATGTCATTTTTTGATTTCTTTCAATTATGTTTGATTTCAGAAAAATGACTAACTTTCTTTTGTTTATATTGAAAGGTTTGAATTAAATAATGCAATGGCTTTTATTTGAAAAATGGAAATGATTGAATCAGTCGTCATGTATTCGACTTCGATAATTATCATTTTGCCTTCTCAAACTCAATTTTTGGTACGTCGATTTATATTCCGATTTCACGCATATAAACCATATGTTCTGTGAATATGATGTATGCACATTTATCGATGTAAATTCCCCAACATGGAATATATGGACTTTAATAGGCAGTGAAACATTTCTGATAGACTCTAAAACGATCCACTTTCATTCGAGTGTGCAGTTAAGAAACCATGACTTCTCAAATTGACCGAAAGGATTTTAACACTTTTATTCATTAATAAACATACTAATGGAATTTAATAATAAATTCTACCAAATATCAACATATAGTCTTACATTCTTCCATTTTACCAATGTAATATTATTTTTCTACACTCTCATCTCGACTCAAAAAATACCGTGACAACTTAGTGATATATTATCATCCTTGAACAAAAGCTAATAAGAGTCGCCATGGTAGTACATTACTTTTTTCGACAAAGTCACTTCCATGTACTACAATATAAGCCCTCACATAATATAAGGAGAAATTCAATAATGGTCTAACAATAATGTCTAATTTTTCTAACCTCTCGACAAGGGGAGTCATTATTTGTATCATATCATATGTCAAAAATTACATACATTGTAACACGATTAACACATAGTATTCACATTCATTCGACGTACTGCTTCTCCAAAAAATTAAATACATTTAATTTGTTGTGTTTTTCTTTAAGCATCATTTCATATTGTAACTTTTGTAATATTAAACAAAAATCAATATTTTTCAAATTCACCCCCTATTCTTTTCCTATTTGTGTAAACTGCCCCCTAATATGAGGGAAGGAGATTGCCCATCTGTTTCTACTAAGCAGAGGTCCATGAACATTTCAGCCCAAATATTCTTTTCCTCTTTGGAGGAAATTACACCTACAAAGGTTTTTAAGTTACCATTTTTAAAAATCCAAAGTCAACTTTAATAATACATAAATTAGGTTTTAATTAATCATTTTTAAATTAATTTTTATTTAAATCAATTCTACACAATTTTCAAACCCTAATTTCATTTTCTCTCCCTCCCTCCCTATCTCTCTTCCCCTGCCGCTCTCCCCCCTCTCTCTCTATCCCAGTCGCCGCCACCCGCCGGCACTACCGCCATTTCATTTTTTCGTTTCACCACCACGACGGCTTTGTGTAGATCCGGTCTTGGTTCAGAGGCGGCAATGGTACCTCTGCGAACGGGCAAGGACTATGCCGGGGGTTTATACAGAAAATTGACGGTGGGTTTAACAATGATGACGGCATGCCCCGGAGAATTGAGTGGGGTGTAACGGGGAGAGGAAGGAGAGAAGGTGGTAGAATCAGTCCACTTTTTGCTAATTTCTCTTCTATTTTTAGGAGATTTAGATTGGATTCTTCCTCTTCAGGTCGGGTTCGGGTTAGTCGGAGTTGGAGCTTGTCGCGTTCTGGTTCGTCGGTGGTTAGCAGGTATATGTTGAGGAGGAATAGTAACAGATCTAGTGATGGGCTCGGTGAGGTGCGGTTGCGGTGCAGGCGGTATTGTTATTGTGGCAGTGGTTGTTGTGATGTTGTGGCCGGGTGAACGACAGTGGTAGTGGTTTTTTTGGTGTTGCGGTGCAGGCGACATTGTTTTTTGTTGTTATTGTGACAAGGGTTGTGGTGGTATTGTGACGGGGCGACGGTGAAGGTTTGAGTGGTGTTGTGGCGAGGGCAAGGTGGGGTAGTATTTGTGACCAATTATTTGGATGGTTTGTGACCAAATATTGGCGGAGGATCGGGACGGGGGTGTGGTGTTTGGTGTATGTGACCAACATTTAGGTTCATTGTGACTATCAATAAACTGTGATCTATAATTTTTTGATCTGTGACCAATGAATTAAATTGTGACGTATAAAAATTTTAATTTGTGACCTCGAAATAATTTGTGATCAATTGATTTGATATTTTGTGACTGTAAAATAAGTTGTGTGACTTATGAATTTTGTAATTTGTGACCTATGAACAAATTGTGATTTTTAAATTTTTAATTTGTGATCGATGGACGAACTGTGACCTACAAAATTTTTGAATTGTGACCAAATTGAATAGATATGTGACATTTATATATTTATTAATGAAATATATAATTAAATAATTAAATCATAAATAAATTTTAATGAAAACCTGATTTTTGAAATTTAAAATCTCTAACCTTAATTTTGAAATGGTGTATGGAAAGTGTCCCTAATATGAGGGAAGGAGGTGGCCCATCTGTTTCTACTTAAAGAGGTCCACGAGCATTTCGGCCCATTTAAACTGGGCATGGCCCAATCTTTCAAATGTCTTCTTTATTTGCAGCTACTTCTGTTATACACTAAAGCCTTCCATTAATGTAAAGCCTTCTAACGAATATCAAGATTTCCAAAATAAGCTAAAATAAATATAAAAAAATATCTAAATTTCTTTGCAATAAATTTATACTTGCAAATATATACATACACGAATTTATATAGTGGTGAAAAAAATTGGATTAAATTTGAGAGAAATGGGTCAGGCATTTCGTCGAGCAACTGGAAGGATCGTGAACTCGGCAGTTGATACGACGCCCTCTGCGTCGTCGAAGATCAAGAAGCCCATATTCCAGAACCCACCGGCGGTGCCCGTTGACAAAGTTCCCAGGAATGACGTTGATTCTGGTAAATTTTTGTACATTAATTTCCTGAAATTTTTAAATTTTATTTATTTATTCAATTTGATTTTAGTAAAGTTGAAGTGTGCCCCAGAATTCTTAAAATTTAATTTTTGTTTCTTTTATTTTTTCGTTGATGCTTAGTAAAGTTGAAATGTACGGTAGAATTCTTAATTTGTTCTCGGCATTTCTCAAGTTTTTGGGCGATATAAAAACTTGTATTTGGGTTATTATTTGTGAATGTACTGTAAAAAAATTTACTGAAGAACAATTCATATTGTTTTGGCCCACAAATGGAAAAGGTGATAATCGTGATCTGAATGAGTAGGGGATAATCGTGATCTGAATGAGTAGGGGTGGCCTTTAGCTTAAGCTGTGGTCAACTTGGTATCAGAGTAAAGGTTAAATGAGCAATTTGATCCGTCTAAAGCTCAAAGCATCACAAACTCTTTTTATGAGTTTTTTTAACTTGTATTTAATGCATTGTGTATAAAACAATATGGTAGATGTTGACTGGGGCAATAAACATAGAGGATGTTTAGATACTGATGTGAAAAGCGGGAATTCTGAGGCATTTATGAATGAGGAATGTAGACCGAATTTTTGTTTCTGGTGGAAATTTTATCTTTTTTGTTCTCTTATATTAATGTAGAGGATGCAGCTAGAGGGAATGCAGAAAATGTTCTTGAAGAACGGGATCCGGGATATGATGCTATGCTTAGTCAAATGGTGGGAAGAATTCAATCAAAGCCTGGAGGAAAGCTTGAGATGGGTGAGGTGAGTTTTCAAGGTGGTTGCTGATAAAGTCTTTAATGGTTCATAAATTTTATAAACGAATATCATGATAAATCTGCAATGCTGTTTTCTTGATACCGGAAAATGTTTTACTTCAATTCGTAGTTCTCTTCTTTAAATTGAATTATGAGGAGCTTTTCTTTGATTTGATGGCATTTTTTTATAGTATTTCTCATATGCATGGTATAAACAGCTATGTAAGGCAAGTCAGTATTTAACTAATACTGTAACTCTTTTTTTCCTCCTCCATAAACTCACTTGTATGGTCTTCGCCAATTATTTAGAAGAAGCTAGTTTCATTATTGGAAATATTTGATTGACTTGTGCCAATTTTAGCATCTTCATTAACTAGTCGAGGCTTAAGAGGATACCTTGTGCTTCCAAAATTTTCGGATCAAGGAGAATATTGGTTCGGACAATAGATCCATGGATAAATGGTTAGTGATGGATGGACATTCTTGCTAGCTTTATTTTTGAGAAAGCCCGGCAGTTCTTGTCCTGTGTTGCTATATGTCTTCTGCTATTTATTGTAGTTGAATATAACACCATTAATAATGTTATTCATAGCGGGTCTCATACTTGGGTAAAGGAGGTTGTTGTAGGTTGATGGCCAACGTAAAATTTTGTCAAATATCTTGACATGAACACTAAATTGCTAATACATTTAGCCCCCATTATTCCCCATTAAATTATAATTAATTTGTTCTCTCTCTTCTTATCAACCACACATTTTTCAATAAAATAATATTACACGCAAACCTAAAAACTTTTCCTTCTTTTCTAACTACGCATTCTTCAAAAAATCACTATTCCTCTCATTATAATGTGAAATAATGGGGGGCCAAACGGGCGCTTAGAGTTGTGAATAGAGCTTTGGATAGTGGAACTTTTATTAAAAAGTTGTTGATTGTTTGGTTGAGAATCCAAAAAGTGCTCTAAATATTAAATTGGCGATTTGGCAGTAGAACTATAAAAACGCTTGGGGTATAATCTTTATATTTATTTAATTGGGTTAGAAGTTAGAGAGTTTTTTTCCTTTCTTTCTTTCTTTTTTTTGATATATTAATGTGTATTTTGTTTAAAGCTGGCTTCGTTAAATGTAAATTACACCTTCTCATAAAAGCTCAATTTAATCTTTTTCAGAGAAGCTCAACCTCTAAATTACTTTTTAAGCTGGTTTTTTTGGTCAAAAGTGCTTTTTGACTTTAGCCAAACAGGCAAAATTTTAAACAAAGGAGCTTTTGACCTCCAAGAAGTGCTGCTTATGGGCTTTAGATAAGCCCTTCCAAACGGACTCTTAATGTTTGTCTAATTTTTCAGATTCAAGTTCAGCTTATACTTTTTGCTAGGTTAATGGAAGTTTTGATTGCAGTGGCTTGACATTTTGGTGTTTTTCAAATTATCAGGCTTGAATAAGAGTTGTCTAAACAGACTGTTTGATTGCAAGAGATCTGCTGCATGTAGTGATAAGAAAACAACTAAGCATTATTCTTAACAAACATAGGAACCTTTTTGTCCATTTCATGTCATCGAGAGGCCAGTTGTGAATTTGAATGATCGAGTCCTTGGGTTATTTTTGTTTATGAATAATGTTATTTAACATCAGTGGTATTGAACACCAATCTAGGTGTCAGCATAACATAGGTCTTATCAAATTGGTCATAATTTTTTGTATTTAAATGAACCTATAATTTAGCTCCCCATTAAAATTATAATTCATTTTTTTCTTTTTTCTAATTAACCACACATTCCCGGCTTAATGACACTGATGCTGTCATCTAGACTGATGTTAAGCACCATTGATTTTAAATAACATTACTTTTTGTTTATATATCAATTATTGACTCTGGACTATTTTCATAGGCGTCTTTGGTGGAGAAGTACAAAAGGCCTTTGCCAAAACTAAGGAATACCACACAGGATTCTAGCAGATACGAGGGAAGGCCTGCTCCTCTTGGAACCCTAAATGTGGCTCAAATACGTCAAATCATCCTGCTGTATCAAGGCAAAGCTGACGACCATGATGGTCCTATGGATATTCCTCAAATTGCCAAGAGGTTCAATGTCGATGCTGTACAAGTTCAAAGGATCGTCCAGTTTACAGCACTGCCTCCTGAGGACAGTAGTAAAAGGAAAGACAACCAATGACCATAGTATTCATATTTGAGTTTCGCTTTACGAATGAACCTTTTGCACGAGGAACATATGTTGTAGAAATTTTTTATTTATTCAATGCTGGTAATTGTGTTGTTTTCATAGAAAATCGTGATAGTAATGTAGTCCTAGAAGGCTAGAACTATCAACACTGATGTTCTAGTTCTGTATAAGCGTCTATCATTTGGTAGGAGGATTAGAGAATAAGGTGTGTCATGTTCGACACAGCCTGCCAAATGTATGTAGTGTTTATTCTAATTGAAATAAAGAGTCAACGTTGGTATCAATACGTATGAGATATTGAAATAGTTGAGAATTCCTCTATTCGGTCATTTTCCTTCTTGTTGATTGATATCTCAATTTCACACGAAGCTAACGATGATATCAGACTAAGAGATTCAGATAGAATTTGAAATTGTACATCGTCTCAAATGCACCAAGTAATTTTACTATAGTCTCACAAGACTACAGTGAAAAAAATTAGATTTCATTTGCTCATAAAGTACTCCAAAGTACTCAGTTCAATATCAAGGCTAGGGGTGTAAGCAGTCCGATTTTTGCGGTTTTTGATAAATTTTCAAACCAAACCGTTTTGACCGGTTTGAGAAAAACTCAAATCTAAACCAAATCGTTTTGACCGGTTTGAAAAAAAACTCAAACCTAAACCTAACGGTTTGGTCCGGCTTTAAACCGCCGGTTTCGCGTATATTTTTTTCCTGTCTAGTATCTACTTTTATGCCATTAATTCAATATATATTTATATCTTATTAGAAATAAATCTAAAACAAACTAAATATATTTACTATAAATTTAAATAACAACAAAATAAAAGTAAAATCACAATAAACTAAAGCATAGTTTTTTATTCGCCATTTTGACGTTTTAGGATAATACTTTACGATAAAAATACAATACAAGTCCACTAAAATAAATATAAGGTCCAAAAAATCATAATAATGTCCATTTTCAACTAGCAAAAGGAATAAACAAATTAATTTTGTCATAGACTCAAGAAATATCAAATTTTGTTACAGAACTCACAGAACTAGCAAAAGGAAGAAACATTCACATACTCAAGAAGCTACAGAACTCATGATCAATTTTGTCCGTCTTACACAAAAAAAAATTTAATTAGCAAATTGGAAAAAAAAAAAAAAAAAGAATTAAGCCATCTAATAATGGCTTCCAAAAGACAAATTGCAAATATTTTTTCTCCACCATTCCACTATATATACCCACCTTCATCTTCTGCAATTTAACACG